TATGGGATCCCATCCCAGAGTTCTGTGGGATCCAGTCCCAGGGTCTGTAGGGTTTGATCCCAGGGTTTCTGGGATCCCATCCCAAGGTTTATGGGGTTTGATCCTGGCTTTCTGTGGGTCCCCCTGTCCCATCCCATGGATCCCATCAATGCCATCTTCTGGATCCCACCCCATGGATCTCATTCCATGGATCCCATAGGTCCCATCTCATGGATCCCATGGATGCCACCCCATGGATCCCATAGATCCCACCCCGTGGATTCCATCAATGCCATCCCATGGATCCCACAGCTCCCACCCCACAGATCCCATCCCATGGATCCCACAGATCCCATCTTATGAATCCCACCCCATGAATTCCATCAATGCCATCCCATGGATCCCACCCCATGGATCCCATAGATCTCATTGCATGGATGTCATCGATCCCACCCCATGGATCCCGCAGATCCCACCCCACGGATCCCACAGATCCCACCCCACGGATCCCACAGATCCCATCCCATGGATCCCATCTTATGAATCCCACCCCATGGATCCCATCAATGCCATCTCATGGATCCCACAGATCCCACAGATCCCACCCCATGGATCCCACAGATCCCATCTCATGGATCCCACAGCTCCCACCCCACAGATCCCACCCCATGGATCCCACAGATCCCATCTCATGGATCCCATCAATCCCATTGCATGGATCCCATCAATGCCATCCCATGGATCCCATAGATCCCATCTCATGGATCCCACAGATCCCACCCCACGGATCCCACAGCTCCCACCTCGAGGAACCCGGGGAACTCCTTGTCCATGAGCGCCCGGAGGTCCTCCTTGGCCAGGTGCTCCTTGTCCCCCGCGTACTTGTGGAAGGTGAACATCAGCGTCTCCATGGCGTGCTCCAGCTGCGACGGCATCCTGGGCTGCAGAGTCCTGCTGGACCCCAAATTCCTGATGGGAGACCCAAAAATGTCCGTGGGAAACCAGAAATATCCATGGGAAACCAAAAATCCTGATGGGACCCGAAATTCCTGATGGGACCCGAAAATTCCTGATGGGAACCCGAAAATGTCCATGGGAAACCAGAAATATCCATGGGAAACCAAAAATCCTGATGGGAACCCGAAAATGTCCATGGGAAACCCAAAATTCCTGATGGGAACCTGAAATTCCTGATGGGAACCCAAAATCCCCCCAGGACACCCCAAATTCCTGCTGGTGGACCAAAATCCCTCTTGGACACCCCAAAATCCCACTTGGGACCCCAAAACTCCCCCTGAGCCCCTCAAATCCCCCCCAGGACCCCCCCAAAATCCCTCCAGGACCCCCCAAAATCCCTCCAGAACCCCCCAAAAAACCCCTAAAAATCCCCATTTTCCTCCCAA